TGGGCTGACATTTTTGACACACCCACCAAACAAGAGAAAACGTATCTCAAACCCCGTTGCACCGTTTCCAGGAAACATGTTCAACCAGGAAACCATAGCAAAACGTTACGCACCGGTTTGGGCTTGAACGTGCCCTAAGAATCATAAATATCAAACATGTCGGGAGCAGATAAATAATAATAAAGACACTACAGAATAGAGGATTTTTAGAAACAAAAAATCCTTTGCGACAAACCGCGAATTGGACCCCCCCCCAATCGTTCGGGGATGCAAATTGGCCTTAAAATGGTCTAGTGTGCGGCCAGCCTAAGTTGACTGTCTAGATATTTACCATTGTGCTAATTAAGCTGAACATGCTCCACCTGTGCTAAATTGGTTGATTATGTGAACATGATCCTCTCGAACTTTGTTAATTATCATTTGGAGTAAGGGTGCCTAATCCTGTTCCTGGAGATCTACCTTCCTGCAGAGTTCAGTGCAAACCCTGCTCCAACAAACCTGTCTGTAATTATCAAGTGTTCCTGAAAATCTTAATTAGCTGGCGCATGTGTGTTTGATTAGGATTTGACCTTAATTTAGAAGGAACGAAGATCTTCCAGGAACAGGATTGTCTACTTGGCTGTTAGAAAACACTCTCTGTCTTTCTGTTGAGTCCAGACATGTCTTACCCCTCCTTTCTCCCTCTCTCTCAGTCTTATATATACAACGCATTCTTTCTGAATCCCTCCTTCTGTATCCATCTCTCTCTCTTGATATTATGTTTTAAATATGTCTTACTTATATGCAAGGTATGCATGCTTAAATGTATACATTTAAGCTTCTCTTGATTTAAAGGCGCCAATAAAGACATGAATGTTAGGACTATAAGGGTAAAGGAGTTCGTGATGAAACCATGAAGACAGTTCAGCATTCTTCGCAAAAGTCTATTCCTAATATGTCCATGTTTTTCTGTACATGTGGCTATTTTATATAAACACATGTTCTTGGCCAAAGATCCTACGTGTATGTTATTCATATCCTCATTGGTTAAGAGGATGAAACTCCCCTCGACATATGCCTATATAATATCTGTATTTCTATGAATAAATTGAAGTATTGAGGATACATTTGACTGTGTGTTTTCTTACTTCCCGGCCGTCTGTCTACACTTTAAAGTAACTGAGAATTCTTCAAGGTGGCAAAGAGAATTTACAAAGGGACCAAATTGTTATTCTTTATTAACATTGGCTTTGTTATATTACAACAGGGGTGTCCACTCCTACTCCTGGAGGGCAAGTAAACTGCAGAGTTTAGCCCTGATCCTAAATAAACACACCTGAACCAGCTAATCATGGTCTTCAGAATTACTAGAAACTTCCAGGCAAGTGTGTTGGAACTGGTTGGAGCTAAACTTTGCAGGACATTGTCCCTCCAGGAGCAGGAATGGTCACCCTTGTTCAAAATGGACACTGGAACAACTATGCCAATGCTTTTTGAAATGTAATAGTGATTGGGGTACTCTGAAGGACACTGGTCCTCTGGGATGGATTTGAGGAACCCTAAACTACAGAGTTCATCCAGCCCTGACATTTAACCACTAAGCTACCACTACATGTATTGCAGAACCTGACCCACTTCCTGGATTCATTACCCCAGACTGTGCGGCAAATACTCCTGCCAAACCTCACACATTCTCACTAACAGCAGCTTCTGTGAACACACACTCTGGTCCATGTGGAGATCTATTTATATAGTTATTTATCAGCAGAGCTGTCGAGAGTGTTATATGGCATCACGCCCACTGATGAAACCAGGCATAACAAAAGATTGGGAGCTGTTCTGAACTGCTGTTACAACAGAGGAGAGCAAATCATGTCTACACCAAGAAACAATGCACCCTGTATGCTTTAACATTCACAGACATTCAAGCAGTGGAATGAAAGTGGGTCTATGACACATTACTGTCACACATTAGGCAGTGTTCTCAAATACTGAGTATGAGTCAAACGTCTCTATTTGGTTCCCCTAAGAACCTTTCAGTAAAGAGTTCTTGAAAGTGTTTTCATAGCTGTTAAAGGTTCTTCATAGAACCATCAATGCCAATAAAGAACCTTTATTTTTAAGAGTGTACCTCAGTAAATTTAGGCTGGGATAAGTCTCAGAACAGGATAAATAGTGATCTCACTTTCATTTTTGTTTCACTTCCTCTCTATGCAATTGTGTAGAAGTGAGAACATATGAGTGATGGAGGTGCGAACAACTGATCAGCAGATATTACAAACAGATCAAGTGCTAATTAAACCAAAGGCAGTTTGTCTGGAACCTCTGAGTAATTCTGCTATTACTCACAAAACAAATGCTGTACAAGTAATAACTTCAATGACATCTGCAAGTCAGATGAAGACATTTCTGATCTACAGGTTGTGGATTTTCCATGTGAAAGAGGTTAGGGAGATGTTAATTTCTGTATCTGTCAGATGCTTTAATAAGAAAAAAAAAAGACTGAATATACCTTTGGTTAAATATTAGTAGGTGTAAAATACTTTTTGAGCTCAGTTTAAGACATTATAGGTGTCCAATGGGAACAAGTGACAAAGGAATATCAATGTTTGCCCTTCAGTATTCATCTGCTCTGCTTCTTTCTAAAAAGCAGTATCCTTCATCTGTCTGCAGACTCTTCAAGCTGCGCTTTTCATCACATGTTTAACAAACCATGTCCTCATTGGTGCTGTCAACACCCCGCCCCCAACACACTCACACCAGCTCACCACGTCTATAGGGACTACGGATAATAAAGGTGTGTCTTTATATGTGGAACACATGTGTTTTTCTTTAATCTCTGTGTTTTATTAATTTAGTAATTTACTTGGTAATATATGGGTTATTTAGAAGCCATTTAATAAGTGTCTGATTGTGCAGATTGTGTTATAATGTGGTGCTGGTGCTGGAATCAGTACTACTGCATTAGTTTAGTAGTCAAAACTACTGTAAATCCAACAAAAATACCAATGAACCAATCAACTGACACAGTCCACTGAAACAATGTAAGAACTTTAAGGACCTCATAATATCAAAATTAAGGGCTTGTGGTTTTTGTATGTCTGTTGAAGAAATCTATATGCTAGTGTACTGCTAAAAGGTAACTTTTGCAGATGTACACATTCCAAATGTACAGTCTTTCTTACAAATAATAATGACAACATCTTGCACTACACTATAAATCATGGTTCGTGGCTGTTACATAAAACCAAAAACCATTTGCCCTGTCGATACGCCCAGTCCAAAATTTCAGCTTCAGTATAACATAGCACTCATCAAACATTTGGGGTCTTTAAATGTAATTATGTGTATGTTAAATTTAAATGCATGGGGGATGAGCACAACCATGAGAAGGTGAATAAAATAACGAGTGTACGAGTAATTAATTTGCATCATACTTCAAAGACATTCCTGCAGAACGACTCTCCACAAACGAGAGATGGGGAAATATCTTTATTATGGCTGAATAATGACATCGATATTTTTTCCCCCATTTCAAAAAGAAGTCCATAATGAATTGCTGCGTTAGGGAGGAAATCTGGCCTGTGATTATTCACTGTGGAAACGGTTGTTTTCTCAGCATTGCCCTGTTGCTTTCTCAGTACATATTTGAGCTGAGAAAATGCATTTTCTTTGTTTCCAAGGAGACAGGGACCAGAACAAAAATGAAGATCTACTTGTCTGCTGTCAGAGAAAGCACAGCATCTCTCGAGCATCAGAACAGAGAGAAACTACTTTGAAGTGTCTGCAGTTTCTGTTGAGAGCGGGGATAACAGCACTTTTTGGTTTTTGCTCACTAATTAAAAATGTTTAGCCTAATCTTTCAAAATCTTTCCTTAAACGCCATTTACGTATTAGCTGCCACAATTTGTGTATTTTAAGTGTAGTCAAAACATAACACATCCTCAAACAATATAGAGAAAACTGATTTATATCAATACTGGAACCATTTCAGGCCCCAAAACAACCTAAAACTTGTAACTGACGAGATATAAATTCTTCATAAAGACTGCTTGTCACAGGATGTAAAATCCATTTAGACATTATATGTCATATGATGCGATTTCAAGTTTTCCTTTCTCTTTGGAGTGTTACAAGCTGATTGTGCATAGATAAGATCCCTGAAGTTGCAAAGACTAAAGTCTCAAAACCAAAGAGATATTCTTTATCAAAGTTAAGGCTCTGCTGAGAGGCGAGGCATAGAGGACCTCCAATAATGTACAGTATTTGAAAAATAATGTGTTTTTTGAACATTAAAGCATGTCAACATATTCTGTTACACCAAATACACAAAATAATGATCTTTAAAAAAGCATATGACCCCTTTAAGAAGAGCACAGGACCTGTTGGAAAAGGAAATGGGGTCCTATTTTAAAGGATCACTGAACAGCACGATGCTGTTGAGATTTCAGATGAAGTCATAAGCAGTGAGGCTTCAATGAGGGTTTCGACAACCTCAAGTGACCTCATAAATCACTGAAGGTGGAGTGAGCCCAGCCCATGCAGATTCCTGATCTCTTTCTCCTCCTCCTTAATGTGACAGACATATGAAACCCAGCCCATGAAGCACGCGTCTGTGTGTCCCCGGGGACCAATTTAAGAGGCGCACACGTTTGCTGCCTGGCCTCTTCCTTCTAGTTCAAATGAAATCCAGTGCTTAATGCCAACGGTTACCAAGGTGACAGTGATGCCACCATCTGTCATGCAGCCTATTCAGTGCAGCCCAGCAGCAGTTCTCATTAATGAAGGAGTGTATTTTTTATTTATTTTACAATACAGATTAAATACAGAATAAGCCTACTGTGCATTGTATTGGACAACTGCTGTTTTTTTTTTTATTATCTTTTTAAACTAAATTTCCTGATATTTTAGGCTTCCTATGACTGAGGAAGACTGTTTCGGTATTATCCATGATCCATAGGCAGAACATCACTGTTGTACTCGAATGAAATAGATCCCCAGGATACACAGGAACTTCAAACATGATAGCAGTAACGCTGTTTAAGAACTTTATTAATTATTCAGCTGTAAAGAAAATACCACAAGTAGCCCAGCCCTCAAATAATGCACACGGCTGATGGTGTAAAGAGCACTGTCGCCCCCTGTCTGCCGGGAGACTGAAGCAGAGGGTTGTTTTTCTTAATTCTGAGGAACAAAATCATGTTCAGAAATTACAACTATGAAAAACAGCAAAATATACGGAGAAATAAAATTGATATTATAATGGCTCTTATCATAAAAACAACAATAAAATTACTACAAAACATAAAATCGACAAAACGAACAAAAGTATACATTTTATAATTATAAAACGTGTGGAAAAAATGCACACACTTCTATCCTCAAACACAGCATATTTTCATTAGTTAAATTAACATCAAATGAAATAATAGCCTCGCATTAACTTTCATTCTGATGTATTTACAGCTTTAGATGAATGATTACATCACTCCATATACAAACGCCTTTCACATTAAAGTCTCCAGCTTCCCGTTTGAGTGTTTTGAGTTCAGTTTCTGTCTCCTCTTTTAATGGTGGCCCTGAATTTAATAAATCTTTGAATCGATCAGTCAGTATTATGAAGGTGACCGGCTCATCTGATGTCGGCACCCACAGACTCTCCAAGACGTCAAACTCCAAGCAGGACGCCCACTGTTTCAAAACACCCCAATACGCCCGTTTAAACTCGCTAGACTGTCGGGAGATGCCGGTGCAAAGCCCGGGGGAGAGAGATGTGCAGAGTTTCCTCAAACAGCCCTCGTGCTCCTGCAGCCAGGCCAGCACACAGCGCTGAGCGGCCGAGCTCGTGCCGTCACCGGGGGAAAGCAGCGCAGCTGCCATGACTTCATGAAGGCTGTCCGGTTTTCCCGCGCTGTCGTGAAGGACGGAATCCAGCAGTGCTCTCGCGTGCGCATCATTACCAGAGCGACTCAGTACAGAGCTCAAGAGCTGCCCCAGCAGGGTGCCTCTGACCACTGCTTCAGCCTGTAACCCAGCAGAAGTAGCCCTGTCCGGCGTGCGGCACAACAGATTAAAAGCTGCTTTACACCTAATGAGGCTGTTCTGATCAAACGGGGATTCCTGTGCAGCAAAAAGCATTCGGATAACGGAGTTCGGCGCGGAAGGGTTTCTGAGTAGATGAATGAGCAGCATGTGCTGACACTGGGCCAGTTCAGAGAACATGACTGGAGAGCACGCCGGCAGAGCTTGCTGCAGGCGCTGGTTGGTGTCGCTCAGACCGGCCTCCAGCGCGGAGCGGACCGCAGGGTTGCACTGGAAGCGGGAGTGCAGCTGCTCGCAGTACTCAGCCCACTGAAACGCCCGGAGCGCGGTGTGACGGTCCCATTCCCTCACGAGGTCTGTCTGAGACACGGCCAGTAACTCCAGGACGTTGGTCAGCTGTCTCAGCACAGCCTCCATTAGACGCTGTCTTCGCCGTATTTAACTAAACAATACATAAACAGAATCAACTTCGGATTCTGTCCGCGTGCCTCGTTCTCGACTCGCTATTGGCTGAGAGCGTGCACGACGTCACTTTTTTCGCGGCCGAACTTCTGTGGCAGTATTTCAAAATAAAAGTCAAATTTGCCTTTAACCGAAGTTTAGTTACATTATTATTGTTATTATTTTCTTTTCTTTCTTTTTTTTTACGCAAAACGAGCTATAGCAATACTTTTTGATCGAAATAGCTTATTCCAACGCATGTTGAAACGTATAATAGAGTCTAATTCTTACAAATGAAAGTGCTTTTTAGTGAAATCAAGTTTTGTGGCCTATTTTACCTTTTCTTTTACTTTTTATCTCTACTATGAATTTTGTTCTTTGCTGTTGAAGTTTTTATTACACTTGCTTTTTTCCCCCCGGTCAGTTAAGAATCTTTTCTCTACGAGGCTCGTTTTAATCGTCTGGTCTCGTGCAGCGCCGTGTGGCTCACAGACGCGTCGCGTCGCGTCCGGTCGCGTCGCGTCGCGTCTCTCAGGGAGGCGGTGAGATCGCGCAATGTGTCCGTCGCAGGAGCGCACTTTGAACTGAGACCCGCATTTTGCTGTTGAAGTTTTTATTACACTTGCTTTTTTCCCCCCGGTCAGTTAAGAATCTTTTCTCTACGAGGCTCGTTTTAATCGTCTGGTCTCGTGCAGCGCCGTGTGGCTCACAGACGCGTCGCGTCGCGTCCGGTCGCGTCGCGTCGCGTCTCTCAGGGAGGCGCAATGTGTCCGTCGCAGGAGCGCACTTTGAACTGAGACCCGCAATGACAGTCGGATCTTTGAGGCTCAGTGTCACGGTGAACAACAGTCTGAGGAGCCTGTGCGCGAGAAAAGCATGAATTCATTGGAAACGAGCGTCTACTTTTGAAGAACCAACTGCAGGCAGTGCATTGTGGAGGGTAAGTGTATACTTTTGGGAAAGAACATGTCTTTGCTTGGATGGATAGTTAGATATCTTAATAAAATAAGATAGGTAGGCTACTATATATATATATATATATATATATTAGTACCTATGTCAAGCATGCCCACTTGAAAACGGAAAATACATTTTTTTTCTCCTCAGTTTGTTTTTGTGCCATTAGGCTGCAGAAGGTATTTCAGTTTTTCTCTCATTTGAGCTGCCTCAGTAAAATGGGTTATTGTGCATTTAAAACTAACAGTTAAAGTGTGTAATAGCCTGTAAACATGATTAAAGCCAGTGCGACATGAAAAATGAAGTAACTGGATTGTGCAAGCAACTAGACTAAATCTTTGCTTAACTAGGAAAGGAAATATACTTTGAACTGAACTTGCATGCAAAATGACAAAACTCATGTTGTATTTAGCTTATGTGATATATTTTGTATAAAGATGCAGATGATGACTGCACTGACGCTTATTAAGTCCTGTTTGTGTGATTTACCCTTCACAGTCCTTTAAGGACAGAATACAGTGTGTGTTCTGTGCTTGTTGAAGGCTCAAATAACTGCAACAGAATCAGATATGCAAGCTGAAGTATTATCAGTTATAATTTCTGCATTAGTCAAGGTCAACGTTTATGGATGGGAAATGCACACAACGTATGGGAAACACCTATTGGCTTTATACAGTATCACTCCACTGTCGCAAATGTTTGCTAGACAAATATAGACTGTGAAAGAATATGATGTTGCTTAATTTAATAGTCCCAGCTAAAGGTTTGACCGTGCCACACTGTACACTGCCCTTTGGTTTCAACCATATGTGCCCAATATGTGTGTGGTGTTGAATGCACTGTAAATGTCCTCTCCATCTGTGAACTCTGCGGGTTTGTGTTTGCCGAGCATCAGTTTCCAGTCCATGCTCCATCATGCAGATGTGTAGATTATTGTATTTATTTATTTATTTATTTTAAGCCACTTGGTAGAAAATCTGAGTGGTATTTGTCCGTCAAACCAGATGCCACAGTATCAGTACAGTGTTCTGAGTTAATGGTCAGTGGCAAATAGGACAGATCATGATAAAGAAAAGAAACATCTTTTAAAAATCCATTTTAAATCACATGTGCCAACATCTTAGACATACATGTTTGTTAGATATGATTTGAATAAAAATAAATATTTTTAATCAATCTATTATTCAAACTGCTTATCCTCTGCGTCTAATAATTTTAATTATGATTTTTATTATATATTTCAAGATAAAAAAAAAATTTTTTTACAAGTAAGTATTTTCATTATTAATTATAAAATATTATGCTTTAAGGAGACATTTTACTAACCATTCCTTATCATAAAAATCCGAAAAATATTATTCATATATTTGACTCCAAATATATACTTTTTTTTTTTAATTTGTTAGAAATTTTTTGGGAAAAATAGTTTTTCTAAGATCATGCCAAACTGCAAACAAGAATTATGTTCTTTTAATGAGGATATTTTTCTTTATTATACTAAAAATGGTTCTGTTTACTAACATTTTTATGTTATAAATTGTTTATGCTGTTTATAAAAAATAAATAAATAAAAATTCAGAAATAATAAAAATAAATATTTTTAATCAATCTATTATTCAAACTGCTTATCCTCTGCGTCTAATAATTTTAATTATGATTTTTATTATATATTTCAAGATAAAAAAAAAAATTTTTTACAAGTAAGTATTTTCATTATTAATTATAAAATATTATGCTTTAAGGAGACATTTTACTAACCATTCCTTATCATAAAAATCCGAAAAATATTATTCATATATTTGACTCCAAATATATACTTTTTTTTTTTAATTTGTTAGAAATTTTTTGGGAAAAATAGTTTTTCTAAGATCATGCCAAACTGCAAACAAGAATTATGTTCTTTTAATGAGGATATTTTTCTTTATTATACTAAAAATGGTTCTGTTTACTAACATTTTTATGTTATAAATTGTTTATGCTGTTTATAAAAAATAAATAAATAAAAATTCAGAAATGATAAGTTGTACCTTTGTACCTTATTTACACCTAAAGGGTGCATATTAATACTTTAAGGCTACATATAAGTACCCTTAGTATACATACTAGTACTTAAATGGTACATATTAGTACCTTTTTTATGGGGTACCGTCCCAGAATCAACTTTCATCTTTTTTTTTTTTCTGAGCATGCAGGATGATTTCTAGGGCTAGAGTGTTCTATAGGGTTTGTTTGGAGGTTCTGGGAGGTTTCTTGGTGGTTGCTCACTGATTTAAAATAGCCCACTCTTAAGTTCCTGTGATATTCTGGTCTCTAGATATTTCTTGGCTCCCTCCTTCGATGTTACTGTACTGAATTTATCTCATCCATTTTATTGTCTGCCAGATCTGTTTGCTTAGAAAAATAATAAAGATGCAGGCACCACTAATAGGGTCAGTCTCACGTGGTATCAGCTTTCTCACTCATCTCCGAAGCAGTCTGGGAAATATTAAGAGCAGACAGACAGCTCTGATATGATCAGTGGACTGCTGTTCACCTTGCCTTTGTCCATATGGGACAGTATGTCCTCTTTTTATTGTTTAGAGAGTCAGTAACACCTCTTTTATTTCTCTGGTTTCTTTTTCTCTCAACCTTTTCCAGCACAGGAGCTCTTTCAGAAAGAAAAAGAAAGAGGAGATTTGCCTTTATCTGATAGACGTTTGGCAGGTAAAGTGAACTCTGGCATTCTATTTTGTGGAAAATATACAGATTGACTTTCAGATTGCCTTCGCCTGCCAGCCATTCAGAGCCCACACAAAGTGACGATTGTTGGACCCGAGTCCTCATTCCCAGGTTGCTTAGTGGGATACAGGAGAGCAAAACTTAGGAAGAGGTCCTGTTCTGCATCGCTGAAGATTGTTACACTTCTCAGAACTCATAACTTTCCTCTTGTTTCTCACATGAATTATGAGTAAGGCGAAATCCCTCGCAATGCGGGCTGGCATCACATATTATCACCACATTTCTGTATTTGTACTACACCCAAACCACTGCCACCACATTTAACACATCCTAACTCTTGAACAAAACTTCAAACAGCAATGCTATGAAGTAACAAGTTTTTCTGAAAAATGTTATACATTCAGAAGAACCAGATTAACTCGTCTGATCAACAGGATTCACTAGAATTACATGATAATTCTTACACTGCCTTCGTCAGAGTTTACGCAGAACACTGAAACATATTCAACTGGATCCGTACACATTCTTCTGCAAATAGCATCAGGTTGTTACAGAGAAATATAACTGCCTCAGACAAACAGGAAATACTGCTTTTATAAAGTGGATTTGTTGAACTGGACAACCTGATAACCATACTAAACATTGGTGTGTGTGTGTAACTCCTGCATCGTTTGTAAAACCGATATTTCAAAGTTTTGCTATATATAGCAAAGGTGATTGTCAGGTGATTTGTCTGGCCAGGGCAGATGTTGAAGTTCATCTTGGTGCTCCAACTGCCCAGGTTTTATGATCATGACACCATTTATTTTTCACATTTTAGCATTGGTGTTCTCAGTTCTTTCATGGATGCTGGCTTTGTGAAGTTCTCTGTGTTTGGTGTTTGTGGAAACAGGGTCTTTAAGGTGAATATTGAGGTTTGCTGTCACTTTTGCTGCAGTAGTTCTGTGTTGTTTGGTCACAATCCTTCTTAGTATTCTCACTTTCAGTTTTCACCCACTATTCCTCTTTGCAGATGAAGTCCTAATCTTAAAGACTGTTGTTTTTAGTAAAACACACACACAAAAAAAAAATTGTGTGTGTATATATTATATACTCTCACATTTTCTAAAACACTTTTTCTTCAGAAAATGTAATCTGAATGATCTAATTGTGAAATTGCAACTGATTCTGATGTTTCATTGGGGAGAGCATGTTCATTTGTGTAAAGAGCCTTTGGGTCAGAAAAAAATCGCACTAGGGCAGGACTGGAGAGAAGCCACACAGTGTGTGACTGTTCTGTCTTAAAAAAAGCGAGTGAGTATTATATCACAGGACAGAGAAGATAGAGCCTGGAGCTGGACTGTGATGAGAAGATCGGTATAGAGGATAAGAGTCTACTGTGAAACAACAGAAAGGGCTTGAATGATCAGATGACGTCTATGC